GGTTTTTCTTTGTACAGGCTGTTTTTCCATTATCTAAACCAAATTACATGCATGGATGTCAGCACAGCCTTACTTCATTCCAGTCTTCATTTTTTTCCTCGTGGTAGCATTTTAATTACAAACAGCACAATGTTCTGTTCTACCTCTCACCTTAGATTCCAGTAAGTTTAAATTTGGGAATTCAAGGAAGCGTCACTGTTACTGCTGCTAGTAGATATTAACTGCAGTCAGGCTGCTTTTCCATTCCAGCACTGAAGGCAGACCAAGTTCAGAGCAGAGGAACTAATTCTGTTGAGAGAACTCTTCAACCCCAATTCTATTATTGTTACAGAATCCTGTAATCCTAGAGCGGTTTGGGTCGGAAGGCACTTCACAGATCATTTAGTTTCAACTCCAGATGATCCAGTTCTGGATGTGTAATCAACCAGGAACCGACTGCCTTTATGGGCAAGGTGTGCAAATTGAAAACAAAAGCAGTCAGGAGGCAGGGGCGTGGGTTTGGGGAGGCTCTCCAAAGCCTGGACTAACTCTTGAAGGGAGCAGACACTGCAGGGCCACATAGCTGGTGAACACCAGGGAGACAGGGCACACGAAGCAGCAGCTCGCCAAGCACACGTACCATGAGAAACAGCAGAGGAGGATGTGGGATCCAAGATTTCAGCACCCCCATAAACAACCAGCCTGGGCTGCAGCCTCCATGCGTTTTAAAACGTTTCAGACACGCTGCCAGTGCCTGAGGAACAGGAAGCAGCCCAGAGCTATTCGTGGAGCTTGTTAAATGTACATAACTGAAACAGGCTTTAGACAAGTACTTCTCACAGAGCTATCCAATACCAGAGCCACTAACGAGCTCGGTGATTTCTCATTAAATATAATGAACATCAGGTATACTATATCAGATTGCTGTGATTAATGAGGTTTTACTAAAATAGGTTTCTGCTAACTTTTGTTATTACTGGATTGTGCATACATTCACTGGAAAAAAAAAATATTCTATCTTGGAATGCTGGACTTGCAGCATAAAATATTTTCATTGAATTTCTACTAAGAAATATTTTCTTCAATTCTCTTTTTTCTTGTTAGAACAAACCAAGCCAACTCTCTTTAGTATCTGATACTACGTTCAGATACAGATCTCAAAAGTAACCCGATTCCCGTTGGTAGGTGAACAAGTTGTTCAGTATACCCAGAACTGCACCAAACAACACTATACATATCCTTGTCATGCCAATAAAAGCTTTAATTTGAAAAGGAGGTAGTTTCCATGCTTGGCTCTGACTTTGCAACTACCTCTGCTCAGGCAAAATTCTGTGTCTGGGAAGACTCGTTCAAGTCTGCTGCTTGTGGGGTCAGCTGCAGGACAAACACCTGTTCAGCCCCTGTTCTCTGCTGTTCCTCTTTCCCATGCAAGAAACAAACACAATGCAGCACATACCACTGACAGGAGCAAATTAAATTGCATTTTCTTTTTATTGAAGCACATTGTGTTTTGATCAGAGCATCTATTGAATCATGCCAATATGCTTTTTATAGCTTAAGCATTTTCACATTTCTTAGCAGTTTTTATAGTCCTAGCAGCTAACAGTATTAGGACTGCAATACAGAATGTATTAAGTAATACATAGCTACTTTCATTGCAGATTGCAAGAGTAAGGGGGTAAATGCTTTACCTTGTAGCTAAAACTCCCATATAGTCATGCCAGGGAAGGTCTCAAGCCATGATTGTCATTTTTGCTTCTGCAACACTCAAGTTTTATTAGTAGTACCTTTAATTATAAAGTTATACCCATCAGAAAGGCAAATCTACCTTCTCTTGTAAACTGTTTTCATTATTGAGCAGGGCTGGGTCAAGCTGTAATATGAGAGGATTCAGGATGTTTAAATTTCTGCTAATGAAGTTTGAGATCCTCTTTTTTTCCCTATTTTTAGGACTATATTTGTTCAAAATGTATTTTCCATACCACTCTTTCTTATGAGTTGGGAGAAGAATGTGAATTTTTAACTGCCAACAGCTCTCTCAAGTCTTTGCTGGTGGTGCAGTTTTATGTGCAATTTTCTATTTTAAAGTGGATTCCTATCTGGTACATTTTACTTTTCTTTGCAAATACAGTATGCTAGAATTTTAAAGTTTGTTCTTTGACATTCCTTGGAATGAAACCTTAGAAAGAACAAAGAGCTTGACTTCATTATGGAAAAGGCAGTGCCTGCCTTCTTGGAAGGACATACAGACAATCAGACAGAAGACCAGCCCTAAGCATGCAGAAGGGAGAAGGAACATGCAAGAGCTGCCTGCTATCAGCACTCGCTGTGTCTGGAAGAATCAATTCATTTCAAGAACTTTACTGACACAAAAGGATGTTTAACAGAGGCCCAGATGAATTAAGTGTTGTGCAAGGCAGCCTTGTAGTGGTGATTTTGGATATAAAAAATGATTGATATCTGACTCTTATAAAACCTGACAGGCTTTTGCACCTACTGGCTTAGAGCAGGACCAGGACAATATTGTTTTAAACAATACAGAAGACTTGCTGAGTAAGAGACACAGAAAACTTCAAGCAAGTTTAGAGACGTCCCAGCATTCAGCATATTCTTCTCTGTTTAAAAGCACTATTATACATTCTACAGGATGTCAGGATATTATGAGTTACTTGCAGTAAAACATTCAAAATTATTGTTTTCATTAGTCAAATTATCTCAAGTACCTTAAATGTTCCCCTGAAGAGAGAATCTAATGCCTGAGCTCTCATGCACAGATAGTGCATGTATTAATCCCACCCTCTGAATTTGATCACAGGCAGAATTAAACTTGAAGAATCAGACCTGAACATGTTATCTTTAAAAACAAGAACATGTCTAAGAAAAAAAGCAGCACAGCAATCAGAATATGCTGTCATCTGGAGCATGAGCATTTGAATTATTCAGAATAATTTCAGTCCTTAATTTAATTTCATGCATAAGACAAGCACACTTACTTGCCATCTATTAAGAGAACACAAATTTTGTGTTGACATCAATTAAGAGAACACAAAATAACATGGAGCTAGTCAGATCTTAAATTCCTGGATCCAATTTGAAAAACTAGGTCTTTAATTCAAATTTTTCCCAGATTAGGGATTAACTACTGTGATTTGGACATGGAATTCTGATCCAGGTACTAACCTTAAAATTCAGATTCTGACTCGAGTTTTGAACACAGAACAAATCTTTACCCTGAATTTGTGTTATCCTGTACATACATCCACATGCATTTTATAAATTAAAATTTACTGATGGGACAGAGATATTTGACAAATGACATCCCAGCTTTGTGTCATTCATTACCTCTCTGCTCAGGGTTGTGGGGAGGGCGTCTGATGCCTGACTGTCTAGTCAACTCCATTAAAGCTATACAGTGTGATCCTTAAATTCAGAAACACCACAGAATGTTCCTCATCTTACTGCAAGTTTTGCTACAGATCTGTGCTAGTTAAAACTATGTACTGGTTACGCAATTTAAAGTTACCCTATTAAGAAAAGAATTACATTAAAACAATGTCAAAGAAGATTTACACAGTTCCCACAGGAATTCCATTTATAGTCTAATTTTCACAATCTAAATGAAATTAGTTTTGTAGTTCCAATTTCATTTTAGGTTTACAGGTCAGTTTTGGCACCTCGATCTAGTGTAAGTAATACATTACATGAACTTCAGATGAATCAGAGGTGCTAGATGTAAATTGTTACTGATCAGCAGCCCTGCTCACAGAACACAGAGGCACAATGAGAGTAGTGTAGGATCAGAGACTCCTGTGAAAACATCTATTGAATTTCTCTCATGATACATATTAAAAGAGGGCAGGGAGGGGAGAAACCCAACCGTTCTGTAGAGTATTACAGCTGCAGGACAGCATATACCACCAGAAGTGCAGTTCAGGAAGGGTGGGCCCTTGCACATTTTGTTCAAAATACCATGTTCTCCTTTGATCTCAAAAAAACCCAGACGTAAGAGTCTAAGGGAGGGTCTTGGATTCCTGTTTATGCTGGACCACTTCAGCCAACAGCATTTGCCAGCACTTGCCATTCTTCCATTAAGTCCTGAGTTCCAAGGCTACAAAATCTCCCTCTGGCCCTTTTCACCTGCCCCAGGGAGGGAGAATGGACACGAGGAGCTACATGGCTCCTCCTGGGCACCAGCCTCATGACACTGGAGGTGCAGGAGGGATGTTTGTGTGTATAGATGGCAGGCAAGAGCAAGAAGCAAAAAGCCATTATTGGCTGTAGTCACATAAAATATGGCACAACTGTCCATTCAGGGAAAGAGGAGTTTTGTAGCTGCATTTTCCTTTTCATAAAAATGTATCTCTATTCCATGTCAATGCATTAAATATCCATGGTAACAGCAGGGGACAACCAATTGATTATAGATAGCAAGTGATTAAAACAGTGCAATAAATGGTGAATAAAAGGACAAGAGAAAAACCTCTTTTGCTGTATTACCTTTCAGTTGAGAAACAGGGACTGACCAGCATCCCACTACTGGGATATTTACCTCAATGGTGTCTATGTAATAAATTTGTTCTTACCTTTCATACTGTGTTTTTGACTACACCATATTAAAAAAAGAACACAAACCCCCACATCAGAACACCAAGGTTAATTAAACCTGTATGTGAAAGCCCACACACTATTCTAAAACCTATTTATTTATAGACAAAAGACGAAAAAAACCTTGTGACTGCGTTTGCACTTTGCTGTCTCAAGTGCCTAGTTAACTGTTCCTCCAGATCTGTGTTTTTGGCTCCAAGCACACCAGTTCTCGAGTTGCACCCCCAGTGCATCGACCATGGATACCTCTGCAGACCCAAGACAGACCCAGACCTCACAGATTTAGTCTCTCATGAAGTACTGGCTGTAAGTACTGACCACAAAACACTTACTCAGTACTAAAACATTTATGACAAAATAGAACTTAAGAGCAGTAAGCTGGTCAACACACTTGCCTTTCCTTCTGTGTGACTTACACTGCTGCAGAGAGGAAGGCTCATCTTCATCCACACTCTTCTGCGAAGTCTACCTTGGTGCTGAAGTATTTCTTCCATCAGTCACTGCCAACTTTATCCTCCTATAATTTTTAGTTTACAGCCTGACAAACCAGCTGCATCCCTCAGAACTGGAGCTATCATTCCCATAATTACCACCTCATGGGTTTAGTCACATACAGGTGACACAGGGGAACCGCTGAATTGCCTTTTATTCCTTCATCAGCTAGCTCCCTATTAGGTTAGATCGATACATCTATAGAGGAAAGCAATATAAAGAAGTACAACTCACCCTATAGTAACTTCCTCTCACCGACATGGCCACATACAGTGCTCATGAAATTATTACAACTTGGTATTCTTCAGCTATTACTCAACAGTGGCTACACTGGCAAAAATCAATTCCTCCTTCACAAAAAATTATTTTACTACGCAATAAAAGGGCCAAGTCCTGTCAGATGATTCAGGAAAGAAGACTTCAGCCTCCAGTTTCTGTTGTACTAAGCACAATGCAAAATAAAGATCAATGTGACAAAAGAAGAGCTCATACAAGTAAGCCAATCTTCTGTACACTACTAAGCCACATTAAAAAGCCTTTTAATCCCTTGTATCTGACAATGCCTGCTGGTTTGAACCCCAGAGAGTTAATTCATTCAGACTGTCAGTGAAATCTTTTTAAAGCCAAGCATGGCCACCTGATTTTCACATCTTCCAAGTTTTTATACCAAGGCAGTGAGCTGCCCAAGTCCTGTGGATCACCTTTGCACTCAGCAGCCGTGAAACACATGGGTATGAACACATTCTCCTTGAAAGAGAGGCACAGAAGACTTATGAAGGAAATAGCCACCCCAAACATCACTGGGTACAAGTTTCCTCCTCAGTCAAGAGATGCATGTACTGGCACTTTAAAGCACGCACCTTCCTGACTCAGCTCTGCTCAGGTTACCAGCCCCAGAGAATCCACCTCCAAGGCTGCCTTTTAGGATGAGACTGTATGTTCATGGAAACACAGACTAAGAGGGAATCCAGCTAGGCCAGGTGTACCTAGGCAGCAGCCCTGCAGTCTGTAGGACGGATCTAACAGGGAGCTGCTCCAGGAAACGCCACTTCCATGGTAAAAATGACTAATGACAGTGGTATTTTCCACATTATTTTTTTCAAAAAGCAGAAGCCAAGTCACTCTTCCCCAGTCATTTAATATGTAGAAAAGCTAAACACCCAGGGCTACTATGGGAGGAAAATAGCATTTGGCAAGGCTTCCTTGGACACTGTCCACATGCAGCACCTACTACAGGACAAAAATTAGCAAGTTTTCCCCCTTCCTAATACTGAGGCAGAGAAGGACTGGATCACTCTTGTGGATGTGTTATAAGAGCTAGAAAACTATTTGCTTTCTATTGTAGCAGTTATTAAGAGCTTTGTGGCCCTGTCACCTTGTAGGAACTGCCATGGTTAAGGCCCAGCTGGGTTTCTGTGGAGGGAGACTGGTGGAGGAGGCACTGCAGCACCTGTCCAAACCAAGGATCGCTCTGCTTTGTCCTTGGGGAATGGTACAAATCACACAGAGCATCATGGCAGGCAGCAGCATCTAAAAATGGAAAAGATTATTAGGTCATGTAACACCTCTTCTAGCCAGGGATGAGACCTACGTTTTCTAAAATGAAATCTTTCAAACTAATTAAATGTAGTCAAACCTCATTAAAGATAAACTAGGTTAATATTTATGAGAGACGTTCCTTGTTGCATACTATCTCACCTCACTTAAGGACATATCTGGAAATACTTTGAAATACAGTTCAGCTGGCTTCTCCTGCCCATTGATCTTTATTTTTCAGAATACTCTGAAGTAATTTCTATTTATACTTTTGAAAACAAGTTGCTGGCAGTAAGCCAAAATTGTTTAGGCCCAAATCATGACCTTCCTTGAAACTGCTATAATCTGACTCAAGTAAACAGAATTTCCCTCACACTGTTTTTGTGAGGAGGGATGGGTGGAGAACTGCCGTATTTTTGACACACCCATAGACCAGTATTTACCCCTTTCCTCAAGCCTGGCTTTATGGCAAGGGCTTCCCCTGCCCCCCAAATACGTACACCCCGTTACCCCCCCACTTTCACATCTGTGTTCATCCTGCTCACATCCTCCTCTACAAGTAGAAGGCCAAAGGTTCTTCTAGCTAATGGCCGAGAATATGTGCAAAAAAACTTGTTCAAAGCTCTTTAGATGTGTGGAATCCCTTAGGTGGGCTCTGTTTGTGCCAGGACATCGTTGAATCTGACCTGCAATTTCAAGTGAGGAATCTGGTCCAATTTCTGTTTATTTCAAGGTCACTTCTACCCCTGCAGTAGTAGGAATGTAGCAGGGTGTTAACTGTGAATCGGGACAAATGTACTTCTAGAGTTCTGTAACCTGCTAAATGCATTGTAAATGCCTAGAATTAGGCAGCTGACTTAGAATTCTGATTGAAAGGAGCAAAATAATGTTATTATTTGGCTGCAGCTTAAGCTGCAACAAAATATGTAACAAATGTAAGATGCGGTTTCAACATGGGTTTTGATTAACCAGAATTATATTGATGTGCAATAGGACAGTCTGATGGGTGCCTCACGTTTACTGAGCATAACATCTTGCTTTGGACAAGAATCGTCTCAAAAAGTTCTCGGTGTGCTGCAGAATGGAAACAGATCAGAGAAAGTCTTCCTAGAGCACTCATTACACAGCAGTGTCAGTAGGTTTACATCTTCCTGTAAAGTCTAATAAATGGTAACCAGCGTTCAAAAACAGCGACAGAAACGGGAGAGCGACGGACCAAATTCGTATTCATTGGTTTAAAATCTGGGTCAAGGCCAGTGCTGGGAGCAGTATTTCTGTGTAAAGAAAGATGCAGCAATCGCCCGTCCCGCGTTTCCAGCGCTGCCGAGGCCGGGCCGGGCTCCTGCGGCAGCCGTACCGCGGGATGGGGAGCGGCGGGCCCCGAGCCGCTGCCCCGGCCTCTGTCACTGGGCTGGCACAGCCACGGGTTCTGCCACCCGGACCGGGACAGCCCGACACAGCGCTGTCCTGCGGTCCGGGAGCTCCGAGCGGAACGCCGCACTCACCTGGCGGGTAGCCCGGGGCAGGGCCCGGGTGGGAGCGGCTCCCGGGCTCCCGTGCCCCGGCGCTGGGGCGGCTCCTCGTTCTCCGCTATCCGAGCGCTCCGAGCGCCGCCGCGCACCCGGGCCGCGCTTCCCCGGCCGCCGCTCTCCGGCTGCCTCTCGCCTTCCTCCCACCGGCCTCTCGCTCCGGCATCCCCCGCTGTTGGTTTATTGACGGAGCCCCTCCGGCGGGGACGGGGCAGCGGCGGCGGCGGGCGGTGCCGGCGCTGCTGCCCCCTCCGCCTGGGAGGAGCGAGCGGCGGCGGGCGCGGAGCGGCGGCGGGGGGAGGGCAGGATTTAAACGAAGGGCGGTGACACCGCACAAAAGATTTCGATAGGCTCAAGTGAGGTTACAGCAAAGGCAGCGGGGCGGGGGAGCTCCCCCAGAGCCGTGCAGCGTCTGGCTGGCAGCGCCGTCGCAGCCGCCGCTTCCCAGTAGTTTGTCTGAAAGCCTGAGAAAGGGAATTTAAACGAACATTTCCTCCCCCCCTCTTTTTTTTTTTTTTCTTTTTTTTTTTTTTTTTTTTTTTTT